TGGCCATCAGATACCTGAATTGCTGAGCTATCCAGCCAATCTTTCCCAGAATAAGTTCCCCAACTTCTGGAACAGATGCAGAGCACGCTGAGCTATCCAACCAACAGTCTAATCTTTCCCAAAATAATTTCCCCAACTTCTGGAACAGATGCAGAGCAAATAGCAAGGAAGTATGTTCTTCCAATGTGCATGCAGGCTCATCCCTTGGGGCCCATAATGGGATTGTGATGTCCAAATAAAAAATGCAGAAAATTCGCAGCACTCTTTTATGCCCTGGAAAGATCCCTGCCATCCGTGTATGCTTGCATACACACGTCGATTTTTGTCTAAATACTGCTGCTGCTCAAGGTGCTGAGAAGAACAAAGGGACACCACACAGTCATTTTGTGTTAGCATGGATGGAACAGGAGGTGATGGCAAAGGGTCTCTCTCTCTCTCTCTCTCTCACACACACACACACACACACAACACGTACAGAGTTCTGCGTCACAAAGACGTCGCAAAAGTTACCAAGCTACACGTAGTGGACGAAAGGAAGCTAGTCTCCCCTCTGGAGTGTACGTACGGAGTTCTGCATCACAAAGACGTTGCAAAAGTTACCAGCCTGTGGATGAAAGGAAGCTAGTCTCCCCTCTGGAGTGTCTGCCTAATTCATCCATGGATTCCCGCTACACAAACTGGACAAACAGAAGGGTCCTGGGGTGTGTGTGTGTGTGTCAAAGGTTCATGGAAGGCCAAAGCAAATCTGGAAATGAAAGGAAAAAAAACAAGAAAAACATAGCACTCCTCAGTCAACAGTAATCTTTTGGTTTTTCGTTTGGGAGGGTTGTGGGCTTGGTGAGCCTGCATCATCTCCCCGTACAAAAATCATCACCCCCAGAGGTCTCTATTTGCTGCCCTAGAGCAGTGGTCCCCAACCTTGGGCCTCCAGCTGTTCTTGGACTACAACTCCCAGAAGCCTATACCACCACCTCTTATGGACAGGATTTTTGGGAGTTGAAGTCCAAGAACATCTGGAGGACCAAGGCTGAGGAACACTGCCCTAGAGGGTATCCAGGATGTTTGTATGGGGTGTGAGGCCACAAAAATGAACTTGAGGCCACATGCAGTCCTCAGACTATGCTCAACCCACCATTAGAACTTGGGGCAGTTCCTTTAAAAAGTCATTACCTACCATTATAGCTCTGAAATCATCAACAGTAGTGACTATTCTATTTCCATTTTTTTCTAGTCAGAAAGGTGGGTTAAAGATTCTGTAGCAATAAAAGCAGTTGCTGAGAGACTCCTGCAAGACACTGTTAGTCCACTCCTGTCCTGGCTGCAACCCTTCCTGGTCATCTACTTGGCCACTATGGAGGCAGAATGCTGACCTAGAGAGGTCTTCGTTCAGATCCACTGTGGCTCTTCCTCCCTTTTGATGGCAATCTCAGATTCTCTGTTACTGCCACAAACATCACACTTTCCCAAATAAGACAGACCTGTCAAATGCATTGAGGCCACCAGGAGTCAACCAAGTCTGCGCATGGGTCTGCTTCAATTTAGATCTTAAAGAAAGCCAACTCTCCAGAAAAGGCATGCATTAAATGGGAAGAGACAAGCCCCCCCCCTTCTCTCAAATTGTCAACCATTATCAGTCAGCTTCTGCTTACATCAAGATGATCCTCCTGGTTTCTCACAGTTGCTCACTCCCAGAATTCCACTGCCCATCCCACAAAAAGTAAGATTATTGGAAAAAAAACTTTTCAACTCAGATCACCACTTTTTAATGACAATTGCCCCATTTAAGCAATGTTCAGTATCTCTAGATCTAAGCACACCACCCATTTATGGTCACTTGCTTGCAGGCTTGCTGACTCTTAAGCCCTACTAAGTCAATATCGAATTATGTATACCCACCATAGGTAGCGCATTGCCACTCTGGCTCCAGTTTCATGTCTCTCTTACAAGTAGATGCGTAAAGTCTAAAGTGACAGTGTCCGTGGTCTGTAGGCTTCTACACATATCTGGGATGGTAATACTGTACATCAGCATCTGGATTCATGTGGATTCTGCTCTCTTGATTAGCAGATCTTCTCCCACTGCAGACTTGTTGCCTCCTACATGCAGTAGGGCAACGAAACCATTCCCCTCTGACACAGGCAAGCATTCACAATCTACAAAACAGGACTTTAATCTAGCTTGATTTAGCCATACCCAACAATTACATAGTTTACATTTTCACTTCTCAGCTACCCAATTTAAGCCAAGAAAAGCATTTTCAGGTGCAAAATCCTCCCTTTCGTTTCTTCCATCTTGGCCTAAGAGCTCACCTGGCATTATTCTTTGAAGCTGTCCACAGCTTTAAAAGCAAAACACTGCCCAGAGTGAGTGGGTTTCACACACACACACCCAGCTCTCAGGAAATCAACAAGTATGGCTTTTCCTTGGTTATTCACCCAACAGAATAAATGCAGGCATTCAACCCCAATCTGCTAAACTGATGCAACAGATCCAGAATTGATAATTAAGCATAGTTGTTGTTGTTTAGTTGATAAGTCATATCTGACTCTTTGTGACCCCATGGACCAGAGCACGCCAGGCCCTCCTGTCTTCCACTGCCTCCCGGAGTGGGGTCAGATTCATGTTGGTCACTTCGGTGACCCTGTCCGACCATCTCCCCCTCTGTCGTCCCCTTCTCCTCTTGCCCTGACACTTTCCCAACATCAGGGTCTTTTCCAGAGAGTCTTCTCATGAGATGGCCAAAGTATTGGAGCCTCAGCTTCAGGATCTGTCCTTCCAGTGAGCACTCAGGGTTGATTTCCTTCAGAATGGATAGGTGTGATCTCCTTGCAGTCCAGGGGACTCTCAAGAGCCTCCTCCAGCACCACAATTCAAAAGCATCAATTCTTCAGTGATCGACCTTCTTTATGGTCCAGCTCTCACTTCCATACATTGCGACTGGAATAACCATAGATTTGACTATGTGGACCTTTGTTGGCAAGGTGATGTCTCTGCTTTTTAAGATGCTGTCTAGGTTTGTCATCACTTTCCTCCCAAGAAGCAGGTGTCTTTCAATTTCATGGCTGCTGTCACCATCTGCAGTGATCATGGAGCCCAAGAAAGTAAAGTCTGTCATTGCCTCCATATCTTCCCCTTCTATTTGCCAGAGGGTGATGAGACAAGTGGCCACGATCTTAGTTTTGGATATGTCATGTTTTAGGTACCTAAAATTGTAATTTAAAAATATGTTCAGCCACTAGAGGGCATGAGAGGGCTTTTCCAGGATTAAGGACCTTTTTAAAATACTGTAAAAATGTATTTTGGGATACAAACAAGCATGTATTTTGGGCTACATCCCCTAAGCACACCCCACCTCAGGTTTCAGAGATGGGTAGAGCCCCCCAGAAGTGTAGGCATCACTTATATATGGATTGATGGTACAGAGAAGATATTTGTAGGTTTTCTTGTGTTTCTCCAAATCTCACTTAAATTTCTTTCCTGTCCTTGTTTCACATTACAGTGCAAACTCTGCTTGTGGCTCCTTCACTGAAACACAGACATTTTCTACTAAGCTGCACATTCATCACACATTTTTGCTAATTCACAAACCTTCTCAGTTGACTAAAGCATGCTGGTGCGTATTTGTGTCCATTATATATTTGAGTCATTTATATTTGAAAATGTCTGTGTAATTCCAAACACATTTGGCTTCTCCAAAAAGCCCTGTAAACCTCACAGAAGTGCAGCCTCGAAGCAACACAAATCTTGAGAGACAGAAAGAAATTATATTTGTTCAGCCTGTTTCATCTCTAATAGAAGGAAATAAAGGAAAGCATTCTACATGTGCGAAGACAAGCAACCAGACAAGCCCAAAGTATGATGAAAATTATTAAATTAATGGTGAGCATGAAAACCTGGCACACCTCATAGACAGTCGGAAGTATGGTACTCCACTCTACCCACTGAGTTCAAATGCTCCACACACACTGTGATCAGCTGACCTAGGCCAATGAGCACAAGTCACTCAAAGACATAATGTAGAAATGTCATGATAAGCAGTGATGTAGCGGAGCCAGGGTTTGGAGGATCAAAGCCACATGATTTTTTTGAATAGCAGGGACATCATTCACCACCTGCTTCAGATTTCAAAGTTCCTCTGAGTTTAGCAGCTGGGAAAGAAAGTGATTTTCCTAATAACAGTAGATTACTCCAAGCTATCCTCTACTCCAATGCAGTTTTTTGAGGATTCTTTGGTCAAGAATGGGCAATGGAGAGCCACTGGTTTTACAAAAGACCTGCCGCAATGGCTTCATCAAACTGCCTGAATATTTGGACTGTCCTTGGGAGAGCTTCGTTGGGATGGAGATTATCTATGGTGAGTCATTTCTGCCTCAGAGAGGATCAAGTTGGAGCAAACCGTTTTACAGATCCCCACATCGCATGCTGCAAAAAGGAGACCTTCTAAGTTGTGGTTAATTTTATTGAATTTCACCATTTATGTGAAACATTTTTGTCATGGAGTGTGTTGTGCGTGGATCATTTTTGTACTGTGCACTGTTCTGAATGTCCTTGGAGAGAAAAACTGCACATACATGAAAATAATAAACAGACAAATAAAGGCCCACAGGGCACCACTTTCCGGAATAGGCATCCAATATCTTGTTAGGCTGAGTTTTGCTCTCCCCAAGAAGGCTTGCCGGTCAGAACTGGGCAATGTCCATAAAAAGTTGGGGTTTGTTGGCTTTCCGAGCCACGCACTTGGTCTTCCGAGCCACGCACTTGGTCTTCCGAGTCACACCTTCGAGAATACACGCGCTCGTTACTTAGGGAAAAGGGAAGCTCACGAGTCGGAGCAGGAGAAATCAGAGCTCAGGAACGTTGCGCATTTTTCGGGAGTATCACTGCGTGCCGCCTAAGGGACTCTGCCAGGAGTGCTCCTAAAACGGCTTCCAAGCACTGGGAGCGACCGTAGCGGCGCCTCGGCACCAGCAATGAAGGCGCAGAATATTTTCTAGGAAGAAATGCTCCTTCTGGAGAAGCCAAGCGAAGGACCGCCGGAGCGCCCGGTCTCCGCGTAAAGCAGCAAAGGCTGCTCCGCGCTCAAGCCGCTAAATGGCCATCCCTGATCACTTCTGCCTCCTTTTTTAAAAAAGGCTGTTAATTAAAGAGGTCTCTCTGATTGGGTGGCCGCCGAGTCCCAGCGGGCCTCTCGCCGCAATATAATGGGAGACTTGGGCACCGCTTCTTATCCCGCCCCCGGTCAGGGCACCGCGCGGTGCCAGCTGGCTGCGGAGCGAGCGCCCTTCCGCAGGATGGCCAGCCTTTCCCTCCTTAGCAGGGGGAGCGGAGCCTAAGAAGCCCTCGCAGCCACTACCGTCACAATCATCCGCCCTTCTCCGATCCAAGCTGGGCGGAGGAGGAGCAGGGAGGCGAAGCGGAGCGCCACCCCCCTACGGCCGGCCCTTCCTCTCCAAACTCTCCCGGTGGCATCCAAGAAGGGCGCAGGTTAAGGGCTCCACGGGGCTCAGGAAGAGACGCTGGCTCCGACGGCGACGGGACGGTGGGGCCCTTGATTTCGGAACCAGGAGAAGGGAGTCCCCGAGCCTCGCCAGGTTACTCTGCGCCACCCTCAACTTCGGGAAGAAAGTCCGAGCGCTCCGACCCCGAGAAGGGGGTCCCCCTCCGGATCGCAGGCGGCTTCTCCGGACCCTCCCGAGCCGAGGTGAGGGTGGCCCCCTTAACGCCGCCGGGCGTCTCCTTTCGACCCGCCACCCGGGCGCAAGAGCGCACGGCTCCAGAGCCCGGAGAGGGGTCGGGCGGGCATCCCCTTTCTCGAAGGGGCGGCCGCGGCTTCCCTTCTCGGGCTGCCGGCTCCGGTGCTCCCGGAGAGAGC